CTTGCACATCCTGCTACATTTTCCTGTCCCTAGATTGCCAAGGGTCTCAGTGGGAAGTTCTGACAGATGACTATTGTCCTCCTAAATGAAATTAGCACCATGTTGTGCTGAGCACAGCTTCCCCCAACATAGAATTTGACTCATCTCCTTTAAGTCTTGCAATTTGCAGAGACATTATTGTTAAGTGCCTTTCAGTCAGTTCTGAATCAAAGTGAACAATCATAGGGTTTCCAAGGAATGGCTGGTGGGTTTGAACCACAACCTTGTGGTTCAAATTGACTTTGTGCTCTAGTGCTTATTCTACAGTGCCACACCAGGACATAAAGCAATGCAAATAAAACGTAAACAAATAGCGCCAGTTATTTGTTTCCTGTAAAGAACACAATTTCTTCAGTGAGAGTAAAAGTGATAAATGTTGTGAAGTGTTGTTGAGTCAGTTAAGACTCACAGTGACCCTATATAGGTTTTCCAAGGAGCAGCTGATGTGTTTGAACTACCAACTTCATGGTTCAAATGGACCTTTTTGTCTAGTGCTTATACTATAGTGCCACACCAGGACTCATGTGTAGAATTCTCCTTTTAGTTGCTTTATAACATCTTGTTGCTGTTGTTAAGTGCTGTGAAGTTGGTTCCAACCCATAACGACCCCATATAGGATTTCAGAGGAGTGGCTGGTGAGTTTGAACTACGATTTTGCTGTTTAAACTGACTTTATAGTCCAGCACATTAACCCACAGTGCCACACTAGGACTGTGTAGGCTTTCCTAAATTGCACAAATGGGTTAAGCACTTGACTGATAGCTGAAAGGTTTGTGGTACAAACCCATCCGAAGAGTCCTCAGAAGACGGGCCTTGCGATTTGCTTCTGAAAGGTGCTTTGCTTTGAAAACTTTACGGTACATGTCTACTCTGTACATACGGTTTAAAATGACCTCAATGGCAACAAGCAACAACAATATCATCGTAGCCTCTTAGATTTGAGTTATTCCTAGGGATACAAAACCCCAAAATTAACACCAGGAGTGATTAGATTTATTCTGGATTGTAGTTTTGGCAACCTAGAATTTCTGGTGGAGCAAAAACCCACTAATTCTTCTCATGGAAATCCTTTTATTTATACATTTTGATAAGCATAGTAATAAGTTATATTATGTGATGGTGCTAACGGAGGAAAATTGTGCAACCCACTGCTGTGCTCTCAATTCCTACCCATAGTGACCCTGTACAGGGTTTCTGAGGCTGTAAATCGTTATGGGAGCCGAAAGCCTCTTCTTTCTTCCATGGAGTTGCTGGTGGGTTAGAACTGCTGATGGTTAGCAGTGGAGTGCTTACTCTATAGTGCCACCAGGGCTCCTTGAGGGCAATTACAGGCTCCCTAAATTCCTGTTATTCTTAAGTAACCACAGTGGGAGCATATGATTTTATAACATTCCTTAAAAGGATGTAAGTATGATTCCAGTTTTATATGTATGCTACTGTTGTTGTTATGTGCTGTTGAGTCAGTTCTGACTCATAGTGACCCTATATAGGATTTCCAAGGAGTGGCTGATGAGTTTGAACTGCTGATCTTGTGGACTGAAGTCCAGTGCTGATCCTACAGCACTACATAAGGAGTCCTTTATATGTAAGTTTTTGTTGTTAAGTGCTGTCGAGTCAGTTCTGATTCATAACGACCCTGTGCAGAGTTTCTGAGGAGCAATTGGTGAGTGAACTTCTGACCTTGTGGTTCAAACTGTCCTTGCAGTCTAGTGTTTATCCTACAGTGTCACACTGGAAAATAAATGGATTGGCTCACAACTGCATTCGGAAAATCAGTTATAAGAAGTTCTCTCAACATACCATCTATCAAAATAAATTCTATAAATGTGAAAGAGTTAAGTTTAAAATACAAACCTAAAAACATACAGGAAGAAATATAGGGTCAGTGTGCTATGACTAGTGGTATTTAGTCACCACCTTTCCAGTGAAGATAAGTAAACACGGACCAATTCAGTGCATCCAGATGACATAATTTTAAGGAAGTTGAAAAGAACACCATGATTCATGGGAATAGCTTGGTCCTATCACCACAGCATATTACAACAACAACAACATCACTTGTTGTTGTTGTTGTT